GGAAGCGGCGCGGGGGCCCGGCCTCAGCCATGGCCGGCGGCGCCGCGCTTAGGCTGCGGGGCTCCTGCAGGAAGGTGAGGTGGGAGAGAAGATCGTCAGATTAGGGCGGGCCAAGGACCTCCGACTTGGGGACTCCACAAACCTCAAACACCCAAAGCCACCATGCCCCCGTCCCAGTCACCTCTAGGGCCACAGGAAAGCCCCAAAGAGCCCCAAAGACCCTTAGAGTAATCTCCAGTAATGCCTAAGGACTTGTCCTTAGGACCACTGGAGACCGGTTTGAAATGAAAACTGTCAAAAAAGAGAAAAAAAAAGAAAAGAAAGAAAACTCTCATACTTTGCTGGTGGAAATTAAGTTATCAAAATAATTTTGAAGAGCAATTGGTAATATCTAAAAAGAAATACATATCCTATGACTCACTCCTGGGGTGTTACACCCCAGAGTAGCTTTGACACATGTACTACTGGACACGAGTTTGTGACAGATGCCAGTAGCATTTTGTGATAGCATAAAAGTGGGGGTACATAGCATAAAAGTGGGGGTACATAGCATAAAAGTGGGGGTACATAGCATAAAAGTGGGGAGGGGGAATAAAGCCTTGGAATAGCTCAATATTCACTGACATATTAAGAATGCATATATAAGCTGCATGTGGTGGTGCATGCGTGTAACCACAGCACTGTGGGAGGCTGAGGCAGGAGGACTGCGTTGGAGCCCAGCCTGGATAACTTGACAAGACCCTGCCTCAAAATAAAAAACAAGGATGGGGGAGGGAGCTCGGTGAAAAGGTAACATAAAGACCCTGGCTCAATCCCTAGTAACACAAAAATAAATAAATAAATCATGATACTCTCATAAACATAATATTATGAAGCAAAAATTTAAACGCATTTTAGCTGGACACTTTAATATGAATGAGTCTCACGACCAGTGTAGAACCAATACAAGAAGTGTGGACTAGGAGTGTAATTGTTAGGGCACTTGAAACAGGCCCTAGGTTCAAACCACAAGACCCCCCCACACACACACACAAAAGGCAAGTTCGAGAATCTCACTGCAGACTAAGATGGCCAGACACGCAAGGACTTTCTAGTGACCTCTACTGACTACCAGGAGGCAGATTCTGGCTTTGATTCCATTTCTATGCTGCAGATTGCTTAAAGATACAATACACGTATGTGAAAATCCTTAAACAAATGCAAGAGCTAAATGGACAGAAAATATAGGATGATGATTGTGAGGCAGAGAGGATACCAGGGGGGATACTCTGGGGCTTCTGACTATTACTGGGCATGTTCTATTATTATTTTTTTTTTTTAATTGGTACCCGGAATCACACTCAGGATCTTGCGCTTGCCAGGCAGGCGCCGTGCCGCTGAGCTATGTCCCCCGCCCTCCATTAGTCTTCAGCTGAGTAATGAGTACAAAGGAGACTCGTTTTATCTTTAGTCTTTACAGCTGTACATCTATTAACAAATATGCATACAATTAAGCATATGTACATTCAATGTACAAATCTATGTACATTAAATATATTGTCATATGTAAAATATTTAATATTTGAGAACTCCTCCATCCTTGATGCAGATGGCCCTGAAGAGGAAAAGGAAGAAGCTGCTCCAAGTGCGTCGCCCACTGCCTGCGCAGCCCCTGGGGTATTACCCTCCCTCCCTCTCTCCCAGGCACAGACCACAGACTGACAGCTTCTGCCATGCCGCATACGCAGCCCAACACCGCACCCACATGCAAGGAGCAGCGCGCGTTCCCTTCCACGGCTGCTCATGCAGTTACACTCTCCAAGGTGCAAGGACACGCGGCACCTGCGAGACACAATACAGCACAGGAGCATCATGGCTCCCCTCCCCACGCGACTCAGCTCCACAAAGAAGCGGCCCCAAGAGCACACATACCAAGTCCTGGGCACTCAGCCGGACAGAATGGAGTGCGCCCATGGAGACGCGAGGACCACTGCTTCCAAAAGGCAAACGAGATCACACGGACACGCACGCACACACGTGAAGACATGCCCACGGGCCACACCATCACACACAGATTCACGAACACACACGGTGTCACTGAGAAAGCAATCGGACCTGCAAAAAAGCCGCACACAAAAAGCAACTCCAGTATCGCACACCCTACACACTGGGCCACACAATGTCACTTTCATAGGACACGCACTAGCAAGCACATAACACCCTTACACCTCTGTCATCACATCATACTCGCACCCAGGGCAGTGCGCACCCTTCCTGAACGCAGCCGAGAGCACAGCGCGGCAGGCTTAGGCCGGCGACACCAGCCAGGCCTGGCCCCGGCGTGTCGCCCTGACCTCCCCACTCGGGCTGGCCGCCCTTGCCACTCCGCCCGCACATCCTCGGGCGGCTCCTGCGAGGAGGCGGCCGACCCTCGGCCTCAGCATCACCTGCCCCACCCCCACCGGCGCCAGGCGGGGTCGCACCTTTACCGGCCGCGCGCAAAGCGCGGGGGGCAGCCGAAGGAGGCCCAACAGCAGCAGCACCAGAAGGCCGACGCCCCCGGCCCGCGGCCCGCGGAGCAGCGGCGACCCCGCCATGCTGCTCCTGCGAGCCGGGCTCCGGACGGGCGGGCGGACTGGCTGTCAAGTGCGCAGTGCCGGGGTGGCGGCGCGGCTTTGATGCTCTGCGGCTGCGCCTGCTGGGAGCCGGGCCCCCTCCTTGCCGCTCCCTCCCACCCCACGCAGGCGCAGCCTCAAGTCTGGCAGCCCCTGCAGGCGGCGCGTCGCCGGGGTGATGCCCCAAGGACAAGGTGGAGAGTCTGAGACTGCAGCTGGCGGTTGCCATGGCACTCGAAGGGCAGTTGCTAGGACAACAGACCTTGCTGTGGGTTTAGCAGACAGCCAGGGAAAATCGACTCAGTGGAGTGAAATGGGGTCCAGTCCCCAGCTCTCCCTCCGTGGGGAGGAGGCGGACTTTGTTCAGTGGATAAACAGCCGCCCGCTGTGGGCCCTGCAGGCCTTTGTAGAGAGATGGGTTCCACCCCTGCATGGGACAGCGGCCGGTAGGCCCCTGTGGTAGTGCTCAGCCCCTCACCTGCATTAGAGAGATTTAGTAACTGCGACATCAGAAGGGCGGTGGCTGTGGAGGCTCGGTGAAAGCTCCAGGGCACCTCTCCTGGCCAGGGTCTCCTCTCCACGTTTCTTTCTGTCCTTTCGTGTCCTTAGCGGTCTTCCTCTCCTCATCTGTCTCCTTATCGCTCTTCCCCAACCCATTCCTCCAACATCCTCCCGTCTCTATCTTCATTTACTGTCTGCAACTATTTGTTTTTTTCATTATAGATAGATACCTACAAAGATTTTATCCATGTATTGTTCCAGAAAGAATTTGAAGACACTTAAATGACACATCAGTGTCCTGGGTATGGTCAGTGGTAGAACACAATGCTTAGTATGTGTGAGGCCCTGGGTTTGATCTCCAGCACCACACAGAAGGGGGAAAAGATACATGGCAGGAAACAAGATTTTAGCCAGGCAATGTGCCACATGCCTGTAATTCCCCGTACTTAGGAGGCTGAGGCAGGAGGATCACAGTTTTGAGGCCAGCCTGTGCTGCAGAGTAAGATCCTGTATTAAAAAAAACAACAACAAAACAACAACAAAAGGAAACAAGATTTTGATAAAATGTATGTGTCTCCATAATGGAAAAGTGAGGGAAGAACGATAACAGTGGTTACTTCTGGATAGGAGTGATGGTCTGTTGTTTTCTCCTTTACATTCTGTTGTCTGAAAAATGGTTATAATGGATAGTCAGATAAAAACAATAAACATATTTTTATTTTGTAATTAAAACAAAGAATGGAAACATGGGTTGAGCATGGTGGTACATGTCTGTAATCTCAGCACTCTTGGGAGGCTGAGGCAGGAAGATTGAAAGTTCCAGTCCAGCCTGAGCAATTTAGCCATGGAGCAACCCCCTGTCTAAAATAAAAATGTTTAAAAACCTTGGATTCATATCTCAGTATCAAAAAATAAAATTGGTGACATGGCAAAAATTGAAAGTGAAGGTCCACCCAGGTGGCTGTGGCCAAGAATATACACCACAGGCCCTAACTGCCTCCATGTGCTCAGTGTCACACACACTTACAGTGAAAATCCTTAATCCACACTCTCTCACGGGCCTGACGTGAAGATTACACACCCAAAATGGTACAAGGCGCACAAAGCTAAGGCGCTTCCCATGCCTCCCCCTTAGGTTCACATCTTTGCATAATCCACTCCCTTTGAACGTGTGCTTGACTAGGTGGACTGGCTGAATCTGAGTACATTAAAAATAAGGTTGAGCTGGGCGTGGTGGCGCATGCCTGTAATCCCAGGACTCGGGAGGCTGAGGCAGGAGAATCGTTGTGAGTTGGAGGCCAGCCTGGGCTACAAAGTGAGCTCAAGGCCAGCCTGAACTGCAAAGCGAGACCCTGTCTCAAGAAGACCAAAAACAAAACAAAAAGGGATAACTGGGTCAAATGGAACCTCCAATCCTAGATTTTTGAGGACTCTCCACACTGATTTCCACAGAGGTTGCACCAGTCTCCACTCCCACCGACAGTGGGGAAGGGTTCCTTTTCCTCCACAGCCTCTCCAGCATTTGTTAGTGGTTGATTTCTTGATGACAGCCATTCTTTCCTGGGTGGGATGGAATCTCAGTGTTGTTTTAATTTGCATCTCTCGAATGACCAGTGATGCTGAACATTTTTTCATGTATTTATTTGCTGTTTGTGTTTCTTCATCTGAGAAGTGTGTATTCATCTCAGATGCCCATTTTTGGATTGGGTCTTTAAATTTTGGAAGTTTGATTTTTTTTTTAGTTCTTTATATGTTCTAGATAGTAATCCTTTGTCTGAGAAACAGCTGCCAAACAAGAAAATTTTAAGTATTATCTTTCTTTGGAGGACTGGGGTGTAGATCAGTGGTAGAGCACTTTCCTAACACGCAAAAGACTACAGGTTTGATCCCTAGCACAGAAAAAAAAAACCAGGTACACTGGTGTGTACCTATAATCTCAGATACCAGAGAGGCTGAGGCAGGAGGAGTGCTAGCCTGAGCAACACCATGGGACCCATCACAAATAAAAAAAAGAAAAACCTAGGTGCAATGACGTACTCTGTGATGATCCCAGATACCAAGTAAGCTAAGGTGGATGGATTATGAGTTCAAGGCTGGCCCGGACTGCATAAAGAGACACACACATACACACACACACACACACATACACACACACACACACACACACACACGAAAAAGAAAAAAGATGTGTGTGGTGGTGCACACTTGTAATCCCAACACTCTCGACAGCTGAAGCAGGAAGATACCAAGTTTGAGCCTGTCCTTCACTATTTAGTAATTTAATGAGACCCTGTCTCAGAACAAAACAAAAGGTTGGGGACGTAGCTGGATGCAAAGGCCCTGGGTTCAATTCCCAGTACCACAAAAAAGATTCTTGCAAAGAGAATGAATGTGCATGTTGAATATTAAGAGCAGAGATGGTTTCCTGAAACGCGCGAGGGAAAGGATCACAAAAGGACGGAGGCCAAAGAGAAACGCAGCTGTGTCCCGGGCAGAGCCATTAGCCGCTTTCCCAGCATTCCTAGCGGAACCGGGGTGGGCACCTATGCCTCTCCACCCCTAATTTGTGGTAAGTTGTTCTAGGCCCTAGGTTCAGTGCTGCTTAAAAATAGAAAAAGGTCTTGTGAACTGTAAGGATGCTTTTCCTTTCTTTTTTTTTTTTTTTCCTGTACCGGAAATCGAACTCACGACCTTGAGCTTGTCAGGCAGGCGCTGTGCCGCTGAGCTAAATCCCCAGTCCCCAAGAATGCTTTTCTTCATTGAGGAGGAGTGCAGTGCCCTCATTTGCTCCAGAGAGATCCAACGCTTAGAGCTGGCTCTAGTTGTACCCACGCAGCTAGCTGGTCCTGTCTTCGCTCTTCATATGCAGTACTTTTCTTGCTGAAAGATGCGAGGTGACTTATCGTGCGTGTAGCAGAGGTTCACCCAACTCGGGAGAAAGAGCCAAAAATGTATGAAACATTTATCTTTTATTTTATTTTATTTTGGTACTGAGAATCGAACTCAGGACCTTGCGCTTGCCAGGCAGGCGCTTATGCCACTGAGCTATCTCCCTAGCCTGAAACATTTATATTGACTGAAGACAGCCCAAGTCACTATGGGAAAAGATGTATGAAAACAAACAAAAGGCAACCTATAGCATGACTAAGGAGAGTTCATTACTTGGAACTGTATTATAAATACCTGGATTTTAAGGATCAGGAATTTAGCTTTGAAACCCCATACTTAAATTGTTTTAGCCATGCATGGCAGTACACTCTTAGACTCTTAGTGCTTTGGAGGCTGAGGCAGGAGGATCACTGTGAGTTCAGGCTAGCCTGGATTACACAGGGAGACAATGTTTCAACACACACACACACACACACACACACACACACACACACACAATTTTAAAGTACCCTTATAAACCAGGCATGGTGATGCATGCCTGTAATCCCAGCACTCAGGAGGCTGAGGCAGGAAGATCGTTGTGAGTTCAAGACCAGCCTGGGCTACAAACTGAGCTCAAGGCCAGCCTGAACTGCATAGCAAGATCCTGTCTCAAAAAGACAAAAAACAAACAAACAAAAAAACATAAAGTACCATTATAAACAGTATTCAATGTTAGCTG